TTTATTTGGAGGATTTTTAGGTATGGAGGGAGAGAGAGTGAGAGAGTAATGTACTCAAGAGAGAACACGGGCTTCTCCAAGGGCAGAGAGAGAGCCCTTACACACATCCTAGCGTTAGACACGAAAGCATGAAAGCACACATCTCAAGAGGGAGATGCGGGCAGCACATGTGCTCGGCCACGTGGGCACAAGCAACACATGGGCTTGGGCAGCACATGAGAGCCCTTCCTTTGTTCAAGGTGGCCTTTATAGAGTTTCTCCAGCCTACCCCCCACGTGGAGCTTCCTCCCAGGTAAAAGTCCGTTGCTAAGGAGGTTACCAGGAAGGATGGGTGTGGTGATGGTCTTCTTTGGGCTGAATCACTAAAGTTAATTGGATTAAAGGGAAGGTCCAAAAAGTGGAACATCTAGGAGAGGAGGCCTATATCCTCAGGGTCTATGGATGGTCTTATCTGATCTTTTTTTTCTGTATCTACAAGGTGGGTCAGTCCTAGAATTCTTCCATTGTTAATCAAGTTTCATTGCCAAGGGCCTTTCCCTATCTATCTGTCTACAATCACATCCCCACTAGAGATTTCATGACCTTAAATCTTTAAGGGCAAAATGGTCAGTGGTCTTTCTTCTGAAGCTGCTTCATGCAGACAAAGGGGTGCAGACCCTTCCTGTGCAAGGGGGAAATATCATGCTACCTTAGTTTATAATGGGCCCCAGGCAATGAATTGATTGGGTCCCTGAAGTTATCTGAAAGAAAAGATCAGATCAATTAGACTGAGGGGTATCACTTTGAAATGGCTAGACCCTGGAGGAATAAATGGTCCTTTCTGACCCAATAAGGACAGAGCTGTTTGCTGTCTTAAAAAACAAAAGTTAAAGCAACAGAAACCAAAGCAACATAATGCCATACCCATATCTATCATTAAAACAATGAAAAGGATTAACTCTACAAACAGGTTTGATTGATAGAAAAATGACTTCCTGTGTCCAGATTTTTCTAATGGACACAGAAACACCAAGTCATTCTCTGGCTTTCTCAGTACAGATGGGAAAAGCTTCTGCCCATACACTGAAGCTACCAATAAGAACCAACAGATATTTTTACCTTGAACATACGAGCATTTGATCATTTGCATGAGGTCAAGCTGCCGATCCTCCTCTAAGTTCCTTGATGCTGAACAGGTGTTAGGAGAGGAGGCTCAAGATTTCCACTAGGTTCACTAATGGCATATCGTGATGTTTTTAAATGAAGTGAGGAGAGGAAGGTGTAAGGTGATGGACCAAAATGAAAATGGTACCTAATGTGGTAGAGTTACAGGTTTCCTTTTTTTTCTTTATGTGTTATTTCCCTACAGTTTTGCTAATACTATACATTAATTTTGTAGTTATAACAATAACAACGTGTTTTGAAAAGACAAGAACCTACATCACTGGAGTTGCAGTGACTTCAAAATATTTGTGGGTGGAGGAGGGGTATCAGAGTTCTTCTATACTGAAGGAAATTACAGAACTGAAAATGTGAGGGGTGGGCGGCTTAAATATGCTCTAAACAGTCACCACTGCTTTAGAGCTACTTTCTAACAACAATTGTGCACACTAGTCCTGATCAAACTGTGTCTTGATATGTATGATCTAGGATAATTATGTAAAAGTGTAAAACTGTTTGAATAGTGAAACATGTTTCCTTGGGGAGTCAGGCAACTATGAAGCAGCTTTGTCTCTGAATGTCTTTCTTTCAAACTCAAAGTTTTGCCTAGAGTTGTGCTCTTTATCTGATTTGCAACTCACCTTAGTCTTTTCTGTTTTCAACCCCCTTGGGCATTGCATAGAAAATCTAACACCTGCAGGAGACACCTGGCACCTGCCTGCAGCACTTCCCTTTTCCTGCCTGGCACAAAGGAGAGAAGATATTGCTGGCCCTGCAGCACTCATCATTGGTTGATTTACAAATGTCTCCTGAAGTGTACTCAGCCAAAAGCTCTGAATTCCAGGAATTACATTTAAGTTACAGAGAAAATCAGAAGTCTGGGGTTCTCAGCAAAAGACTCTTATCTTCTTTTCTCTGCCTCTTTGGAATAGATAAGGCCCTGAGCTCAAATTAGTTCCTTAGTCCAATATATCTATTTACACAGGTTCTTGATAAAGCTTATGGGAGCATCCATTAAGTGCCAACCTTAGCCGGGAAGTTCTTTTTCAAGTTTGGTATTATTTTCCCAGAGAAATCTTACAGATGTTTAAACACAAAATTAAAGTCTTTCTATTTTAAAATACTTTCTATTTTAAGATACTTTTTATCTTAAAGTACTTTTAATTTTTAAGTTGTAAAATATATATTTAATATATACATTTTTTAACTTTATCAGTTTTGAATTCTATCAAAAAGCATCCAGTTTTCTTGCTAAAATTCCAGCCAATTTTTGCCAATTTTATCTAAGGAATGTTGCTGAAACTCACAACCAAGATGCTTTATTTGTAGTTCATAAAAATTCTTTATTCCTTTTAGAAAAGTATTTCCCCATTAATTACATTTCAGTATCAATATTATCACTTGTTATTATTGTTAATAATAGTACATTGTTATTAAAATTCATTTTTAGGGAGCTGGAGCGATAGCACAGAGGGTAGGGCATTTGCCTTGCATGCGGCCAACCTGGGTTCCATTCCAAGAATCCCATATGGTCCCCTGAGCACCGCCAGGAGTAATTCCTGAGTGCAAAGCCAGGAGTAATCCCTGTGCATTGCTAGGTGTGACCCATAAAGCAAAAATAACTAACTAAATAAAAATTTTTATTTTTAGGTTAAAATATTATCTTTTAATATTCTTTCAATCCTGTGCCATAGTTCTCTTTAAAGATCCACACACCCCACATGCAGAATCCATGCTTACTACTTGACTTAGGAGACAAAGTAACCATAGTTCTAGAGGCTGAAAGTTAAACAAAAATTCAGAGGAGTGAAAGTTAAACCTGAAGTAGAAGAGCCAAAACTTCACAGAGAATTAGCATGTTAGTACAAAGGTCAGAGATTTTGAGTCAAACCTGATTTTACTTATTGATGTACTGATGTGATCTTAGGTAAATTAATCAACTTCTGGATTGTTAGTCCCTCTATCTATTTTGGGGAAAAAAATCATAAGATGCAGTAGTAATTTCAGATTAAAGACATGTTATTTTTACAGTGCTTTGCCCATTTATTATGTGTCCTCCCTCTTCCATTTCAGAACTGTGACCTTAGTTTCCATAATTGATTCCATTTACCATCGGATTAAAAGAAATTGAAAAATTTTTTTCTTGATAAGGAATTGCATTCACTGTATAGCTCAAACTGAAGATTGAACATACAGTGGCATGGTCAGTCCAATAGAAAGTGCAAGGAAGAAAGTTCTAGGCTGAAATTTTGTATTTTTTGTTAGAGCAGCATGTCCAGGTGTTATGGCAACCCAGGTACTAGATATGTCAAACTGTTTCAGAAGTCTTGAAATTAGTGGTGTTCATCCAGTCAAACTCTTTAGTAATTTTCAAGTGATTTTAGAATGTAAAGAATAAACAGAGGTAAAAGAACGTGACCAAGAACCTGGAGTTTTAGAATGGAAGGCTTCCAGGTTGATTATTTTATTTCTCTCATTTCAGTAGTGGATTAAGGAAATACTAGAAAGAATCTAACTTAACTAAGAGCAAGTGGCAGAAGTCAGTTGGTCCAGTTAGAACTAGAATACAAATCTTTGCCACTTTGGATCATGGTTCTAGGGCAGTATTGCATAAAGGGCCCCATTACAAATGATTGAATTCATTGCAAAGCTATAAATGAACAATCATCCATACTATTTTTTTGTGGTAACACTGAATATTTGCACTTCTTAGCCTTTGGATAATTCAATCACCTAAGACTGCATCAAATTTGTCAAATGTAATAAATAGGGCATAATAATAAAGTAGTTCTTTGGAGGCTAGGTGAAAAGCACTATGGTCTGAGGACATGCTTTCCTGAAGGAGCCCTGTCTTCCATATCAGGCACCATATGGTCCCTTGAGTGCCACAGGGCACAATAAGCCAGTGTAGACCCAGGGAGAGCCCTAGTTTGATTGATGTGAACTCCCCAAACCAACTCTCAAACATGTCCTCCTATGTAGAACTTAATGCAATTGGGGGATGCCATAAACTGAAACTTATTATTCATCTGATATTTTCAATGCTTTAAATGCTGGCACTACTCATCTACCGAGCCCCAATATCCTTGAGGTCCTCCAATTCAGGTGCCCACATCTAATTTGAAATTAGATGTGAAATAAATCTGAAATATATTCTCTCTTGTTGCTCCTCACCCCACACTTTTATTTTATTTCTGGCTTTCTTCACATACCCTATCTCCCAACAGATAAACTCTACCTTCAACTTATGTTTATTTCATCATGTGCCTCTACTTCCAATGAAACAATCAATATTTAGCATTTAAGTCATTCAGAATTTAAGATGCTCTGGGATCTGATCCAGACTGCTAAATTACAAAACAAATTAAATATCACTACTCCTATATAACTTATATTGACAACTTACCAAAAGCTTAGAAGAAAGGATATGTAGATATATCTATTAGGGGGCAGGAGAGAAAGCAGAGAAAGTAGAGTGTTTTTTCTTTGTATGTAGCCAACCGGGGTTGATTCCCCAGAGCCCCTCCAGGTCTACCTAGCCTCTCCAGAACTGTTTCTTGAGCACAGAGCCAAGAGTAAGCCTTGATCACTGTTGGGTGTAGCCCCCCCCCCAAAAAAAACACTAAATTAAAAATTAAAAGATATAAAGATAGGAACAGGTAAGATGTCCACATGATTACCTGACATAGCTATTGTTATGTCAGAGGACTTACAAGTAGATCAGAGAGGTGGGGTAATAGCAGCATCTAAGGCTGAAGGAATTGAGAGGCTTTTTTATGGAGGTCCATGTGGTAATCTTCTTCAATGAAAAGTCTTAGTTCTCAAGATTGCATTCCTGAAGTTTCTTTTTCTTTTTTTCATGTTAGATGAGTAATGTGCTAAGTGAACAACAAGATTTAAGGGAGGAACATATCACACAAATAGTGAATGCCCAACCATCATGTTTATGTAATGGAAAAGGATCCTTCTGAATTTTCCTGACTTAACTCTCAGTATGGTCTATTCTCCTTTCCCTATAGCCAGATTCTCCATTGGTTAGACATTCTTTTGAAACGTAAGAATGACTAATGTACAGCCCAGCTCTCATCCTGCATGCACTTTAGGGGATATGCATATTGCATTTACATATCATAGTGCTTAGGAGATATTCCTGCATATTTGAGCATAATTGTGTTCCCCCTCCTTTCCATATCCTATCCCTGAAACCAAAATTTAATTTAAAGTACTTTTTAAATCCAGTATAAGTTAACTTGTGTTTGCTAATTTGAGAGAGATTTCCTTCTAGTGAGCAGCACAATTTTTAACGTGGATCTCATTGATTTAAAAATCACCCTCTATACCATCACTGCAGATGTGAGATGTTGGAAAGCAAGGTCCAGTGCTCAATCTTTTTGTCTCTGTCTTGTACATAAGCAGCAAGGCATATGGCAATCTCTTAGAATTCAGGAAAAAAAATAATTCGGTCTGATATGCATAAAATATTTATTCATAGCAGCTCCCAAATTCTCCTCTTCCCATTTGCTGCAGAGCCACTGCAAGAAAATGATTTAATAATTTAAAATAGTTGCTGCATACTTTACTAAATAGTCAGAGAGGAACTAAACAAATACTTTTGAACCCACACATTTGTAGTGTGGAATTATTGCTTATATGCTACTCTTATATGCTATGATTACAGTAAAATTATTCAACCAATTGAATCTTTTTTTTCCCCAGAATAAAATGCCTGACATGGCTTCCTATTTTTAACTAAATTTACCAGCTGTTTGTATCATCATGGCATTAACATTAGAAGCAATGTAGACATAATATTTGGAAAAGGTAAATGACCCTTAACTTCTCTATTTATCAAACTAACTTATGTTCTGAGAAATGAGAAATTCTTAGAAAGCAAAGCTCACTAACAATTATATCAGTCAAGGAATTTAAAATTCATATCAGGCCGATCTTATGAATTTTTCCTGTAGCACATACGCTGCTTTACAAACTAACTATATTGCCTGGACCAGTACCAACTTACTGTGTTGTATGGTGAGAAGTTTTAAATTCTATTAATCAAAATAAATACAAAATCTTGTTGTGAAACTGATGATGCTGACTTCATTTCCACCATTCTCATGATTTGCTATATACTATTAATTTTAAGTTGTACACTAAACACATCACAAATTTACAGTGTTTAAACAGATGTCTGACACATAGCATTTGACAATATTTAGTATTTTATAGCAATACATTACCACTAACTTTAGAAACTATAGCATCATGAAATTTTACAGCCAATTGAGTTGATGAGTCACTGTCAGCTTCCTCAATTGATGATTTAGATGAATAGGAGAAACATCTATAGAAAATGAGGTGCAAATCACCACAGTGGCTGTAAAATCCTAAGCGTAATGGTGAAGTTGAAGTGCTGAGGTGTTGGTGGTGGAACAATATCTTGGTTAAAATAACCTGAAAAGAAAGCCAATGGTTTCTTTTTAAATTTGAAAATAATAGCAGTGTTCAATCCATCCTGAAAAGGGAGCCAATAATTTCTTTTGAGATTTTGAAATGGTAATAGTGTTTAATCTTTAAATTGGTCAAATAGGCACTTGAATTGATTCGTAGAAGTAGAAAGTTCTCGCAGGGTGGTTACTGACTCATGTGTGACAAGGCACTTGATTTGCAAAGTTTGATCTGTTTCATCTTAAACTAATTGGAGTGTAGAGCTAGTAAAAGAGATAAATAATTGTTTGACAAGTGAAAATTTAAATATTTAGCTTTAATAAGGTACTGTGTTATGGAGAATGAAAATAAATCCTTCATATATTAGTTGAGTGTTGGTTTTTATTGTTGTTGTGATTATTTGTTTTCTTTTCTTAGAAAATCCAAGGAAGAATATATCTATTGGTTGTCATTTATTTAAATTTATTTTGGAAGTGTAGTGTGTGAATTTATCCCAATTATTGCATGCTGAATATATTCTTCTAGACTCATAGGAAAGTTTTTGTAACATATCAGTAAATATATGTAATGTAAGTCATAACATATTTTTTCTAAATTGTAAATATATTTAACAAAACTTTTTAGGATGGAGTTAGCTTATGCTTGTAAAATATTCATACATGTCCAGTTATTACATATGTTCCATGGACTGTGGAAACATTTTCAGATCTCTTCCTTGTCTCATGGTTATTATTTTCTTAGGGTCAATTTGGTCTGGGTATTTGGGTATTTTCAGACAATTCTGTGCCTGCCACTTGACCCCGTAGTAATGAAGAGATTCAAATATTCTTCAAATACTCTTTCTTTATGTCTGCAAAGAAAGACAAACCAGATAAACAGTAATCGTCACAGGAATGTGCGAATGTGTATGTGGGGGCTGGGGGGAGAGTAGGGGTCTGGGTTCTGTTCTGCATGGATAGCAGAGGCAATCACAAAAGGCAGGACTAAAGGCAGCATATTCTAGAGTGTTAGTATAAGGCTGATTTTCTTCTTTTATCTATTAACATGTTAATTAATATACCCTTGTGGGGCCCATACATGTTTCAGGGGCACAGACATAGGCCTTGTAATCAAGAAACCATGATTTCTAAACTTGCCCACATACACAAAGCATGATCCTACCAATTGTGCTGTTTGGGATCCCAGGCACCACCAATGATGTTGAAATCTCCAGTGCACCCAAGCCAGAGATGTGTGTGTGTGTGTGTGTGTGTGTGTGTGTGACAACTAAAATATGTGATTCCTGAAGAGCACAACTAAAAAGTAAATGAGCCCATGACTACTAGCAAATGCATGCATGTACACCACAAATCAAGTGTGGGAGCCCTGGTGAGCAATATAAGTGGAATGTAACCTAACACTGTAACTGAAGTTGATGCCTGCCAGTGCAGTCCCAGCAAGCATGGTGGCCAAGGTTGCAAACACTGCAATCCTATGTGCAAACTCTGTGAAACACCACAAACATATGTGTAAGTACCACAACCATGTATGTGTGTGACACTCCAGTCATTGCAAGAGCAAAAGGGAAAGGAAGGGGGGAAACTTCATAAAGTTTACCTCCTGATATGATGGTATCAGAAGGTGAGGTTTTTGGTGGAATAATTAGGATTCAATGAGGTGTCACCACAAATAAATTAGAGCTCTTGTAAGATCCAAGAGAACTTTTTTCCTCTATATTGTCTGTGCTGTGATGAAACAAGAGAAATGTTCTAGAAGAGAGTTTCTCCCTAGCATGTGGAAAGTAGACTATAGACTAAACATGATTGCCACCCATTGCCTCTTTTGCAAACCACAACACCCAATAAGAGAGAAAGAACAAAAGGGAATTCCCTGCCACAGAGGCAGGGTGGGATGGGGGTGAGGGTGGGGGTGTGAGAGATACTGGGATCCATGGTGGTGGGAAATGGGCACAGGTGGAGGGATGGGTATTTGATCATTGTATAATTGAAACCCAAGCACAAAAATGTGTAAGTCTGAAACTGTACCTCATGATGTCTCACTATTAAAAAAAAATTAAAAAAAAAGAGAGAGTTTCTCCCAGAGAGTAACCTGGACTGGATTAGCAGTGTCAAGAGCTGTGCGAAAGAAAGTTCTGTTCCCAAGCTGCCTTGTCTGTGGGGTGTTGTTACAGCAACACAAATGGAGACAGTCAGAGATCTGTGTTTAGAGTTACAGATTCATCCTTTTCCCTCTTTGGGAGATACTCATTTAGCACATTTAGCATGTCTCAGTGCTGGGGATTCTCATCAGAATGGAAACACCTGCTCTGGGATTCATAGCCTTTCCAGTTATTGAGTTCAGTGATGCAAAATCAGTGCAACACAAGGAATCTTTTTGTAGATCTAGAGACCTCTCATGAAAGTGGTTATTTCAGGGAGATATCAGGGAATTTTCTCATTTGGCTTTTTGTTTAAAAATGTTTATGTAGGACTAGTCTATGTAGGAGCATTCAGATTTTGGTCCTATGTTTTAGAAATCCATCAGTGAGTTTGGTCATGGCTAAAAGGCACATGAGAAAATGCTCTACATTACTAAACATCAGGGAGATGCAGATCAAAACAACAATGGGATATCATCTCACACCATAGAGACTGGCACACATCAAAAAGAAAAAATGCAACTGGTGTTGGTGCGAATGTGGGGAGAAAGGGACTCTCCTTCACTGCTGGTGGGAATGCCGACTGGTTCAGGCCTTTTGGAAAACAGTATGGATGATTCTCAGAAAATTAGAATTTAAGCTCCCATTTGACCCAACAATACCACTCCTGGGAATATATCCCAGAGAGGCAAAAAAGTATAGTCGAAATAATATCTGCACTTGTATGTTCATTGCTGCACTGTTAACAATAGCCAAAATCTGGAAAAAAAAAACCCTGAGTGCCCGAGAATAGATGACTGGTTAAAGAAACTTTGGTACATCTACACAATGGAATACTATGCAGCTGTTAGAAAGATGAAGTTATGAAATTTGCATATAAGTGGATCAACATGGAAAGTATCATGTTAAGTGAAATGAGTCAGAAAGAGAGGAACAGGCATAGAAAAACTGCACTCATCTGTGGAGTATAAAGTAACAGAATGGGAGACCAAGAGTCTGCTCCACCACTTGGAAGCTGGCCTCACATGCCCCAAAACAGATGACTGGTTAAAGAAACTTTGGTACATATACACAATGGAATACTATGCAGCTGTTAGAAAAGATGAAGTCTTGAAAATTGCATACAAGTGGTTCTACATGAAAAGTATCATGCTAAGTTAAATAAGTCAGAAAGAGAGGGACAGACATAGAAAGATTGCTCTCATCTGGGGAATATAAAGTAACGGAATGGGAAACGAATACCCAAGAATAGTTGAGATAAGTACCAGGAGGTCTGCTCCACGGCTTGGAAGCAGACAGCACATGCTGGGGGAAAAGGCAGCTCAGATAGAGAAGGGAACACCAAGTAAAGGGTGTTTGGAGGATTAGATCAGGATGCGAGACGAGTGCTGAAAGTAGACTACAGACCAGGCATTATGACCACTCAATACCTCTATTCCAAATCACAAGACCCTAAAGGAAAGAGAGAACAAAAGGGAATGCCCTACCAGAGAGGTGGGGTGAGGTGGGGGGATGCCATAGGGGAGCGAGGTGGGAGGGCTACTGGGTTCATTGGTGGTGAAGAATGGGCATTGGTGGAAGGATGGGGACTCAATTATTGTATAACTGAAACCCAAGCATGAAAGTTTGTAAGTCTACAACTGTACCTTATGGTGTTTCACTAATCAAAAGAAGTTTTAATTGATTAATATATTTTCTCATAAGTAGTGCTGGGTGGGTGGGTCGTGGTGGGGGTTGCAGGGACCTCCTAGTGATACTCAGCTAACCTGGCCTGAGGCATCGGTGCTTGGGTCAGATGATGTGTAATTACTAGACCCAGCAATGCTGAGGATAACCAATACTATTCCTTTCAGGGCTATACTCAGAGGTGCCTAGAGTGGACACATGATATCAGGGATCAAACTTTAATCTTTGAGCATATGAAACATGGGCTCTGACTGTGAGCTATCTCTGCAGCCCAAAAGATAAGGACTTAAAAAGAAATAACTGATTTTTTGAGTCTAGTGTGGCCATTCTGGAATTGTCTACTTGGTCATTAAAATTGTGAGATATGCATTTTAGACAGATGCTGGAAGGACTGTTCTTATAGGTTCCTTGGTGGTATTCACATATTAAGCTGGAAACAAAGAACCACACAGAGTAAAGAAGAGGATGATGCTCAGTATATAATAGGGATCTTAGCTTAGATTGTGTCACTGAAGTTGGTGGATGGAAATGATACACGTTTTGGCACCAGAACGATAGTTCTTAAAAAAGACTGACTTTTAAACATGATGAAAATAACTCATCCTTTCTCTCTCTTTGTATTCCCAGACTCACAAAACCCTCAATAGCATTAAGAGAAATAATGAAAGAATTACTTATAATGATAGTTTGCTCATGGAACTATTAAGTTTGACATGGACTCTATAGAAATATAACACACAATTGGATATGTGAGTTGAAAGTTAGGGGACAGAACAGTCCTACAAAAGGGCTAGAGAGATAGTAGAGAGGATAAGGTGCTTGCCTTGAATGTGGCTGACCTGGGTTCGAACCACTCTAGCAAGAGTGATTCCTTAGTGCTGAGCCAGGAAGAACCCCTGAGCAACTCTGGGTGTGGACCAAAAGCAAATCAAACAAAAAACCACAAAAAAATGAAACCTAGAAAATGAATTTTTCCAGACAGCTAGGTTTTGAAAGTGATCACATCAATTTGATCTAGTGTTTTAGACTATGCCCAACATTTTGAATTACAATATCTATTTCTGATCATAGAAATCATAGGTCAATAATATGAATTCAGTCGTATTTATTTTGTTTTCTTGGGGCGTGAACAACTCAGCAATTACTTTTGGCTCAGAGCTCAGGGATCACACCTGGCAATCTCAGAGGACCAGATGGGATGCTGGGATCTAACTCAGATTGGCCTCATGCATAGCAAGCACCTTACCACTATACCGTCTCTCTGGACTCATAGTTGAAGATTTTTAGAATGAGTGGATTCCATAATGAAGAGAGAAAAGAAAACTTGGCTTTCAATAGAGAAAAATTGAGACATTAAAATAACCTGAATAATCATATCAAAAAGGGAGGGGCATGAGTCAAACTTATTGCAGATCTCAGAAAACAGCACTAAGTAACCACATCTAAGCTGTGGTGACTGAGATCAGAGGGAAAAGAATGTTCCATGATTCAATGAATAATTATAACAAAGCTATTGTTTTATAAAGCTATAACATCTCAAATATAAATTGGCAATTGAATCCAACTTTCAAAAATATAAAGGAAATATGTATTAGTGTAGCACTGTAGCACTGTCGTCCCATTATTCATTGATTTGCTCAAGAAGGCACCAGTAACATCTCCATTGTGAGACCTACTGTTACTGTTTTTGGCATATCAAAGATGCCACGGGGAGCTTTCCAGGCTCTGCTGTGCAGGTGGGATACTCTCGGTGGCTTGTAGGGCTCTCGAGAGGGACGGAGGAATCAAACCCGGGTTGGCCCCATGCAAGACAAACACCCTACCCACTGTGCTATCACTCGAGTCCAAGGAAAATAAACACTAGCTAAATGTAAAGACTATTAAAAATTGTAACAGTCATCATGGACATGCTTCCAATGGTTCAATTGGTCTCTCCAAAGGCTCCCATGTGTTTTGTGCTTGGGAGGATATGAGAATATTAGAGATTCTTTTGACCTCTTTAATGAATTTTCAATATTCTTTCTGCAATTTTCTCTTTCATGCCCAACATTTTTGCCTCCAGCCACATAATTCTGGATATTGAAAAACTATTAAATTTTGGTTTATGATCCGAGTTTGCTCTGTATCTGTTCCATGTATCTCAAGTGGGTAGTATGAGTTTTGGTTTCCTCATCTTCAAAAAGAAAGTGTTGGATTATAATTAAATCATGTGATCATTTCTAGCATATAGTTTATCTTACTTTTTCTTTTCATTTTTGAGTCAGACCCAGAAATAGTCAGAGCTTAATGCCTGACCCTGTGCTCCATCACTCCTAGTGGTACTTGGGGGATCATATGTAGTGCTGGGGTTGACCACATGCATGACAAAGTGCCTTAATCCCTGCACTATCTCTTCAGCCCCAGGAGCTTCCATTCATAAAGCTTTGCTTCTCCAACACACTAAATGATGAACACCAAGTTAAGGATAATACCCAGTGCCAGGTCGCAGTCCTACATATTTAGCTACAGGAACAACGATCCTGCATTATATTCATTTCAAGAGCTCTGTATCTTTTTTTTTTTAAGTTAGACTCTTCCCTGCAGCATTTGACTCCTTCTTCCTTTTCTTTTGATAATATAGTGGTAATTCATGAGGGATCACATATCTGGTTGTGGTGCTTACACACATAGTTTTGTCACTAAGGTCCTGCTGAGAGCAGTAGATCTGGGGACCTCACTTAAAGGTAATGTGGGGTGATGTCAGGATGGAATTTGTATCATTCACTGAGTCAAGGAAAGTGCTCTACTACTGAGTCATATTTCTGGACCCAAGCTCTATATTTTCCTCTTGAAAACCTAGAGGAAATCTACTGACTATAGTTAAAGAAGTATCTACTGACTATAGTTAAAGAAGTACCATCTACCTGAAATTTTCTAATATCTTGGGTCTTACAGTTCTCAACACAACGAAAAACAGTAGTGACATGCAAAGGTATAATTGTGTTCATGTAAAGAAATATTATCATTTGGGGACTGGAGCAATAGCACAGCAGGTAGGGTGTTTGCCTTGCACGTGGCCAACCCAGGTTTGATTCTCAGCATCCCATATGGTCCCCTGAGCACCACCAGGGGTAATTCCTGAGTGCAAAGCCAGGAGTGACCCCTGTGCATTGCTGGGTGTGACCCAAAAAGCAAAAAAAAATATTATCATTTAATATATTTACAAAATTTTCACAAATAGAGTACATTTATAACAATACAGACTTTGGAAGGAAAATGACCTTTGGGATCACTAATTAGATGCTGCTCATGGAGCAGAGGTAGATGGAATGACCAATAGCCTCTGCATCTTATTTAAAATATTAAAGCACTACCCAAATGTTATTGCTAATGTCATATAGTCACCAGAATTTACAATATAATAGCACTCAATAAGGTTGAAATAAAGGTAAAGAAATATATAGTCTTTTATTTACAACTTTTTGTTGCTAATGGCTTGCTTATGGTTTTTACAAATGAAAAATTCAATATCTAGCTAAAAGTCTGACTCAGTAAGTATGGTACTAAAAATCATCTGGAGTAAGATCAAACAGTTCGTCTCATAAGTATGCCTCAAAGGATGTAAATCTAAGCTCTAACTCCACCTTTCAGAGAACTTAAGAGCATCATCAACTGATGGTTTTCCACTTCTTTGGCAGGCTTGGAGCGAATTGCTCGGGATTCATCTTATGAACAGGAAGGAAAGGTCCAGTTTGTAATAGATGCAGTGTACTCCATGGCTTATGCTCTCCACAATATGCACAGAGATCTTTGTCCTGGATACATTGGGCTTTGCCCACGAATGAGTACCATTGATGGAAAAGAGCTACTTGGTTATATCCGAGCTGTAAATTTTAATGGTAAGTTGCAACTCTTTTTTTTTTTCTTGTGTCTGTAAATACTTTAGAAGTGACAGAGTTTATTTTCTCCCCTCTCTATATAGAAGATACTCAAGCAGCGTGGGAAAACACAGAATTAGAAGCAGTTCCTCTTTTAATCAAAAGTGTGAATCTTTTCACCTGCATTGAAACCTCATTTTTGGGGGTTGTTGCTATTAATCTGCTCTGAAAAAAGCGGTTGTTAAAAATAAATCTCTATAAATCAGAATATTCCACCTTAATATCACTATTTCAGAATGAACTTAGAGGGTTCATTTGGAGTCACTTGACAACAGATCAAATTTCTTTGAAAATGTGCTTCATGTTGGTATTGGAAAAGAAATTGTTCAATGTTTTGTTTGAAGCTGATATTTTAGCCTTTTCACCAGTAAGCTGACTCAAGAAGAGTGGATTGTTTTGGAGTTAATGTTTATTTACATTTTCAAACTGCTGTGTTCAGTTTTGCTTCTCTTTTCTTGTGTTTCTTTCAGTGATTCGGTCAATTTGAAGCAATGAGCTGTGTCATGTAAGATATAGCTACATACAATGTGGTGCAGATGAGATTTGCCCAAGTAGCTACGAAGAACTGGTACAGAATATGTTGGATTCATAATATAGGGCTGAGAATAGCAGAACTACCTTTCTGAAACGATGAAATTATTGAATGCTGTTGTTCTTTCACAAAAGTTGGAATGGTTGCTGCCCATGACTTGGGCCATTATTTTCAAATGAAATGATAGAATGCTCTGAGCTGTCTAATTCTTTCTGTTTGGCTGTAATCCACACAATGGACATGCCTTTGAGCCATGCAGAGCCCTGTACTGTCCATCATAATACACTCCAGTGACCTTAGCTGCCAGCCTTTCTCAACAAAGCACAAAGTCATCTTCAATTTAGAATTCAAGTGGAAATTTCTTTTCTTTTGTTCCGGCAACATGAGGCAAAATTTAGCTTATAGTCAACCAAGTATCCTATCTTTTTTTCTCAACAGAATTTTGGTGAAATATTACCTAATATCATCCTTTTGTTAAGAATACAGATACTGAGTGGAACTTGAAAATGATTTTCATGCAATTATCAAGCAAAGCAAAAGAGAAGTATTATAACACAAGGTTATTTATCCTAATGTGAGGTTGGGGAACACTTTATTTATTCAAATTGTTAGTAAGTGGGAAGAGGAATGTAAATGAATGCATCTTCTCATTAAGAGAAGTTTACCTGTAGAGCTAGAGAAATCTTTTGTAGAATGCTAGATGCAAGCATTTTAGAGGTGAATTGTTAATTTTTGAATCTTAGCCAGAGTAAAAAAAAACCCTAATAGTTCCTATTATTACATTATACTGTAAAATGATGATGATGATACTATTATCATCTACTTAAAATATCTTAAAGTCCTAAATGATTATTAATACAATTTGCCTCTAGATTCCAATGATTTCTGAGTTTTGTCCAGTTTTTATAGGTTTCTTTCTCATCTGCATTACCAGGCTGCTGTTTCTTTGATTGTTTTTAGTATTGATTTCTTTCATAATTTCCTTTTTTTCAATCTACTTTGAACAGAAAAGCTCACATAAAATCTCATTCATTTAGTTAAGAGACACTTATTTAGCCCATAGAATGCATTAGAAAACCAACTTGAGATTTAAAGTTTCTGGGGAATTTAGATTGTTAATTAAGTGAACAGATTAAAGTATAGTGAGATAATTTGCAGTGAGTGCTGAAAGGGGCAGTCTGCTGGATTGAGAGTTTATACTAGGGGAGGTGACTACAAGGAATTAAGAACAAGTGGCGTTTGAAGGAGGTGAGTGTCAGAGGTAAAGGTAAAGCTGTAATCAGTGTCAGATAGATCATTTGGGGTCTGATAGGTCATTCTTAAGGTTTGATTTGGTCTTGAAAGAAACCCAACTCACTGAAGCATAATAGAACTGTACCTGATATAAAGTTACTCTGGTCAGTAGTTATCAAAGTTGACTGGACATTAGAATCACCTTAATAGACTTAACAATACTGAATCTTGGATTCTACCCTAAGATTATTCTGATATATTTGTAATAAATATTATTAGGAATGTTGTAAATAAATCACATTGTTAATAATGTTTAAAATTATAAAATCTCTCTTGATGGTTCAAATAAGAATGCTGTCTAAGCTCTATGTCAGATGATTCTTGTGTTATGTATAGGTGAATTTTAGTATATGGATTTTCTTGGAGATTTACTTTCCTAATGGCTTGAAACTCAGATGTTTTCCATAGCTAATGACACAGGGGAAGAGATCTGAGCATAAATGACAGGAATATATCATTCTCTTCATTTTTATTAGTTTTCAGAGGTTCATTAATTTTTTTCTTTTTGGGTGATCTATCAGTATTTATTCATTATCAATATTTTGTTTGCCTATGTTAAAAATATTTGTTGTGCTATTCTGAGAAAAGTATAATTTAAAAATCTTGGAAGATGAAAGAAACAAATGCCATAACAAAAAAGCGCTAAAGTTGAGTTACTTAATCTACCAGAGTATAAAAGGACATTCAGTGAAATACTTTATATGATGAAAGCAAGCCTGCCTGTTATTTTGGAAAAACTTCATTTTCTTGAAATTCACTTCTGAAATGCATGCATTGCAGAAACTGGCCATCCTATAAGCAATGTTATTTATTTATTTATAATTATTTTATTAATCAGTGAGAAATACAGTTGAACAGTTTTTTATGATTGGGTTTCAATAATATAATGTTCCAATACCCATCCCTTTACCATTGTACATTTACCACCACCAATGTCCCCAGTTTCCCTTTCTCACCACCTGACTCTTTGGCAGGCACCTCTCTCTCTCTCTCTCTCTCTCTCTCTCTCCCTCTACCCCTCCCTCCTTTTGGGCACTCTGGTTTGCAATACAGATACTGAAAGGTTTCATGTATATGCTTTACCTACTTTCAGCACTCAGGTCTTGTCCGTGATCATTTCTAACTATAATTGTCATGCTAGAGTTTTCTGTATCCTACCTGCCCTTTGCCCTACACATGCTTGTGGCAGGCTTCCAACCACTGTCGAGTAAATAAAAGTTGTTATTTAACCAAATTTTATACCAAATACAAGGAGGATGTTTTGTTCATGGACCAGCAATCAATGCTAAGAACACAGTACATGTAAAACTGAAGAATATTTTATTCAAAGCTTTTTGAACAAGGAGGAAGATAGATATTGATGATATAGATTTATAATTCATTCAAGCTTGGATGATATGGGCATATATTTTGGTCTCTAAAAATACACAAAGAACACCTTCCTTATACTTTGCTTTTCAAACTCTCATCTTCAAAGGACTCCTACTCAGTCATTTGAAGTTTAGATCAGTAAACAAGAATTGCCAGGTTGAAGGGTTTATCATCATCTTGGATACCTCATTTTCTTTGGGCTACTTACCAAGAGTCTTGGAGGACTCTTGAAAGACTCCACAAGCATATAGAGAAAATTATTAAGTCCTCATATTTAAATTCACTTGGTGCACTTCAATTTACTTCTCAGGTCTTTACAGATTCTGGTAGTGAAGAGTTCAAATTTGTGTTTCTTGGTGTAAACTAGCAGTTGCTTTCTGTTAATTGGATACCCACTATTGAGTAGCTCATCTTGCTAATGATGGCTAATATTTTCACTGTGTAAGATAGTTCACCCACTTCCCAAGAAATTGTGAATGGGTCACTGGACAAATTGTGGTTTCTTGAGAACCTATCTGAAGTATCATGAAAAGTACAGAATGGATTTGGTAAATCACAGAGATACTTATTACACCTAACAATCAAATTATTTGAAGACAGTTTTTCTTGGTATAGCTTTTCACCAGTTTTCAGAGAATGACTTTGCATGCAACTAGGAATTTCCAGAGTAGCCTTCCCAATTTTCTGTAAGATTCAGTGAATTTAAAGGGTAGCACTGTAGCACTGTCCTCCCGTTGTTCATCGATTTGCTCAAAGGGGCACCAGTAACGTCTCACAACAAATTTTCAGACTTGTTGTTACTGTTTTTGGCATATCGAATATGTCACAGGTAGCTTGCCAAACTTTGCGGTGCAGGCGAGATACTCTTGGTAGCTTGCCAGGCTTTCCAGAGGGGCGGAGGAGTCGAACCTGGGCCAGCCGCTTGCAAGGCAAATGCCCTACTTGCTGTGCCATCATTCCAGTATGAATTCAAAGAGTAGTTCCAAATAATTTTTAAAACTTGACCCACAGGATAGATTCATTTAGTCATGTCCATTTACATATCAGATAGTTTCTGATCAAAAGTGTTGTTTCTATGTGGATAAAATTGTTGTTAAACTGTTTCTTTCTGGCATTTTAAAGATATCAGTATAAATTGCTTTTTGTGGTCACTTTTAACTTGAAGCTAGTGAAACCATGTTATTAGTGTAAAGGGAGAACCTTTTCCCAATTTGCTAGAGCAGGAGGTGAAACTGCTAGAGCAGCTGGATGTTGCACACACCATTGGTATAAAATTAAAGAAAATTGTTTACAACTCAATCTTGCTGAGATTATAACCTTGTGTATGTAGTAGGCTTAATGAAGCAGGAACCTAAAGATATACTTGGTTTAAATGGTCATGTTTCTTTCCAGTTTATTGTTTAATGGACAACATAACATTAGGATGGTGAATGATAAGCAGTTTAAGTCATAGTTTCTCTGTAATAAAACAATTTGTTAAAAGTAAAACATATTTTGTTTTGTCAAGATGTTTAATCAGGAAAAAATAAAAACTACAAAGCCTCAAAGACATCAACAATAATGGTGATGATTAGATTGAATTTAATCACCCAAATTGATATTTTCTCATAAACAGATAAAAAGTAAATGAGCCATATTTTGCAAGTGTATTTTAAGGACAGCTGGATCACGGCATATCTGGAGTTACTTAAGAGTTATTTAACAACTTTTCTTAACCTCTGCTCTCTACTTGGGAAGCCAGAGAGATACAAAGACCTGCCTTTTA